AGTTAGTGATAAATTTCAGTTGATATTTGGATGTTACCCTTGATAACAATGTGTTATAAGTTAGTGATAAATTTCAGTTGATATTTGGATATTACCTTTGACAACAATGTGTTAGATCTTAGTGATAAATTTCAGTTGATATTTGGATATTACCCTTGACAACAATGTGTTATAAGTTAGTGATAAATTTCAGTTGATATTTGGATGTTACCCTTGACAACAATGTGTTATAAGTTAGTGATAAATTTCAGTTGATATTTGGATGTTACCCTTGACAACAATGTGTTAGAACGATTCGAGTCATAGATTAAATACATTTCAGTTATCTTCACGGGTTTATACCGTTTTTGTTAAAAGAAAACCGTACCATGAATAAACACAAATGTAACATAAAATCATGGAAGATTTCCACGCGAAGATAAAGAAAATAGAAACAAAAGTTTACCGAAACGAAGTATAAATTATCACGTCCTTTCTTTGTCTGCCAATTCTTCAGTAATGATTAGCTAACCCTAAGAGGAAATAAGTTTTTGTTGACCTAGATACTGTTCATTCAGGATATGACCAGAAAGCAAATTTAGAGTGCAGCCGAACATTTATTGTTTTTTTTTTCTTGTACTCCACCTTCTCCTAAAGCTGCAAAAAAAAAAAAACAACGTTGTCGATCGTCTGCATTAGTGTCAGCTTAGCGCGTGCATGTGTTACGTCACTTCCGACATCCTATTATTATTATTATCCTTACGCTTGTAACAGTCGGTATGAGTCACGTGAACGTGATCAAAGCCTAGAAAGTATTCCTCACTTTTTCTATCCAATTGGACAAAAGTTGACATCAAGGAATCTGGATTATGGGGGAAAGGGGGTAACTTTTTGAACATTTTTGAACTAATTCTTCTTGTCTACGTGTTAAAGTTGAAATCGAATCGTATATAAATGGAAACGAACGGGGGGCGTTGCTACAGACACTTCTGATCTTGGAAAGCCGATTATTGAGGTATAGAGATTCAAAGGAGTATTAGACAAGAATTTTCATCTTTACTGTAATGTTTTAAACCTAGCAACACTAAGGGAAGATACCTTAGAATTATATTACAAGAAACTTGATTGCGCGAGCGTCTCCAGAGACGTGTAATCTCCTTTCTTGTATTGTAATGTATTTATTTGTTTTGAACTTCAGAAACGCTAGCACTGTTTAAGATTTCTGATTTTCCACAAACGATGGTTTAATTTTTTTATCCTTATCCGAAAATTCTTTAGACATTAATGTTTATTAACTTCCTAGCGTCAACTTAGCATCTAAACTAAACAAGAAATCCAGCACTGGTGAGCTGATGAAACAAGTGAAATGTTACTAGTGTTTGTGTTCTTTACGTGTTTTAGGCTAAAGTAAACAAAACCAAAACCTATCTTGTTATTTTCAGAAAAAAGAAACATGAAGCTGATTTCCCTAGTGTTTATATCGTCTTGTGTACTGCTCAGTGCATACGTCCACCAAACAGAAGCAGGCAAGTTGAAGAAACTACTACCACTGCTCCTACTTGGGGCAGCAGGCGGTGGCGGCAAAAGCGTGATCCCACTCCCACTCCCAATACCCATCCCACTGCCAATATCGTAAGTTTGTTTATCTTAGTTAATTATAAGTTTATCTTCTATGAAGTTCATCAATTAAATGTTGCCCTTAGAAATCAATTAAATGTTGCCCTTAGAAATCTATTAAATGTTGCCCTTAGAAATCTATTAAATGTTGCCCTTAGAAATCTATTAAATGTATGTATTGTACGTATTATTATATTGAATTATCTAATGTTTTATTTATATTGGAACGCACAATCAAGTTTCAAAACGTGTTATTTTCGAAACGTGCAAGTGTTAATTCTTAGGCCAAATTTTCCTGTTGAAAATCAAACAGATAAGTTTATTTACCAGTTCCCTTTCTTAATCCATTATGGATTATGACTATTAAGTCTATATTCTGTCGCTGCCGAGGAAACCTTTCGTATGATACCAGAACTCGTCAGTTCGGCAGAATACAAACCAACCGAAATGTTTTATGTGCAATACAATACACGAATGTTTGTTTCATCACTATTATTAGGCCTAATGGCGTCGTTGCTTCGCCAGCTTTCCGTATTTAGAGCCCTATGATCGTATAGGGGAACTATCAATGACTTAGGTATGGAAAACAAGAAAAAATGGAACGTTACCAATTTATTTTCCACAATTTGAAGTATAATCCCTGCACTACTAAAACACCTGTTCTTTATAGTTTCAAATAAACAACCTCGTCATAAACTAAGGCTTAATTAAAAATAAAATAATTTTTGTGAATAACAACCTAAAATTACGACTATTTGTTTTCAAAATTTATGTATAGCTAATGAACTAAACGTTGCCAGGACAAGTTTTTCTGTTTCAGGTACCTCTGGTGGCACATCTTAGAACTTAATTCTATTGTCGTTTCAACGTGACAGTTAAACAATAAGGGTTTAAAAGGGATAGAAATGAGCGAGTTTCAGAAAAAAAATAACGCGTGATAAAAAATGAATCAAGAAAAGTCATTAAAACTGGTTATCTACGAACTTAGAGAAGTGATTAAAACAGGTTATCTACGAACTTAGAGAAGCGATTAAAACTGGTTATCTACGAACTTAGAGAAGTGATTAAAACAGGTTACCCACGAATTTAGAGAAGCGATTAAAACTGGTTATCTACGAACTTAGAGAAGCGATTAAAACTGGTTACCTACGAACTTAGAGAAGCGATTAAAACTGGTTACCCACGAACTTAGAGAAGCGATTAAAACTGGTTATCTACGAACTTAGAGAAGCGATTAAAACTGGTTATATACGAATTAAGAAAATATATTAAAACTGGTTGTAAGATTTAAGAGAAACGATTAAAACTGGTTATGTATTTTATGGTTACAGGACAGGCAGTTATTCCAGCTACGATCACTACGGCTATGGTGGCGGTTACGGTGGCTACGGTCATGGTGGCGGTTACGGTGGCTACGGTCATGGTGGCGGTTACGGCCTTGGTGGCGGTTACGGCGGCTATCTCGGAGGGAGTTACGGCGGTTATGGTGGCTACGGCCTTGGTGGCGGTTATGGTGGATGGTGGTAGAAGTTAACATCAAATCATAGGCATAACAATTTTTTACAAACCTGTATATCATTTCAATGTATGGTAATCCTAAAACTAACTTTCGTTTGTTCATATTATTGTGTTTTACATCTATGTACATATATTCAAACTGTGGGATTGATATTGTATATTATAGTGAAAGGTAATAAAATATCTGTGTAGTAAAGAATTATCAGTTATACAT